TGAAAGTTTATGGAGTATATCATCACAAACTACTCTACATGGCAACATAAACTCTATCATTCATGAAAACTATTAACTATTAAAATATAATGTAATCTATGTAGAAATTCTCACATTCGAATCAAACATGCGTGAATTAAAGGAGAAAGTACATAAATGCCATCAATTTATAAAACAAATTAATGTGATTAAGAAATGACACAAATGAAGCAATCAAAAGGCTCTTTTTTCATGAAGTTGACAGATAAATACTAGTAAGTCTAAATCTTTTTTTATCTAGCTCATTTAACTAAAAATTGAAATGTTATGTCAGTTAATTAGGTGCATGTTATCAACAATGTAATTCTCATTCGCTAAATACAAAAGCTCTAAAATAATTCATGAATGTGGCAAGTGAATACAATAGCCAAGAACTGATATTGCTAAGGCAATGAATTAAAGTCTCTTAATTGAAACAAATATTTCTAACGTGCCTAAAACTCACCTAGTATTAAAAGTACTTACTCTTATTTTGGTGAATTTTAGAGAACTAATTTTTCATTCCATTATTAAATTAACTGATACTATTTTTAAATAAATTAATCCTCATATCAAAGGATTCAACTAATTCAAAATGGAGTAAATTCAAGTTTAACAACATAACCCATTTGTTTGTTTGTTAGGTAATCACATTTATTTAAAAATATGTAAATTAAAATAGGCAATTGACATGAACATTAAGCTACAATAATGTCATAAAAATAGTGGCTTAGGCATGACAAAATTAAACAACTATAACAACAACAACAAAAATAAAAAATTCTTACATTATATAGGACTTCATTCATTAAATAGAGATATAACACTTTAACCCAATCTTCATTTCAATCGAATTATAAATAAAACAAAATTATAGAAAAATTTATCACATAATTACATCAATTTCCATATATAAATTAAGAGATTAGGTGAAGTTGAGTACCACAAATGAAGAAATAAAAATCGCAAAGTCTTGATCGAAACTCGATTAAAACACTCATAATATTTTTTTTTGGTGCGAGTGTATTGTATTTTTGTTTCCGTGTGTTGTTATTGCTTTGCGTGTATATTGTTTTTTATTTTTTTGGTTTGTGCTGATCGTCCTTTTTTTGTTTGTTTGTGTATTTTTGTGTGATGGTAGTATAGGAGTTTTTTTTCCTTTCGTTCCTTTTTGTCGTTTGCTGGGTTTGGGGTAGTGTAGGTGTGTGTTGCTGATTCTTTTAGTTTTGGTTTATTGTTGTGTTAATACAGGTAATGATTGTGTGTGTGGGTAGATGGTGGGTAAACTATTAGGGTAGTGGGAGGAAAATAGGATGGTGTAGGTGTAGTAGTGGGGTAAGAGGTAGTTTAGGTGAGTTTTTATTTATTTATTAAATTTATATAAAAAATTATAAAAATATTAGCTAATTATTTTGAACTAATGAAAATATAAGAAAAAAAATTTAGTTAATCTAAAAATGTAATTAAAGAAAATATTAAAAGAAAACATATAAAAAAATTTATAATTTTTTATATCTTTTTAAAACAATTGAAAAAATAAAACTTACCTAACAATGTGATTCAATTTTTTGTGCTTTTCAAATAATTTAAAATAAACTTAATAAAATAAAATTAAAATTAAAATATTTGATTGAAGTTGAAATAAGACAAGTAATTATCGATTAATTATTTGAGGTTCTTAATTTAAACAAGACAAAATATTTCTTAATTTATACAAAGACAAAATATTTCTTAAGACATAAATTAATTAATAATTATACATAAATATGAAGTTAACTAATTTAGAGTTATATATATATAGAGAGAGAGAGAGACACACACACAGTTATATAATTATTTCTAAAAACTTAAAAAACTATTTAGTGAATAGATTTAAAATATTTTTGAAATTTTCAAAATAATGATTTCAAATTGAAGAAGCTCGATAATTAATACGAATTGCATATGATCAAAATTGGGTGTCAACACTCGAGATGATTGAAAGGTGTCCTATATTATAATTGTATATAATCAATGTTTATGCACACTTATAAAGTGCAGGTACATTATTTAAAAATTATCTACAATTGATTTGTGTATGAGTTGTTTAATTATGTATAACAATATTAAAGTGTATATAAGCACCTTTTATACACTATTATACACGTATATACAAGTCTATACACTATTTTAAATTAAAATATTATTCAGTATAATTATAAAGTTACATAAAATTAAACTTTCGACTTTATTAAAAGAAATACTAATACTCGATTCACTTCGATCGGTAAATCAAATTTTAAAAAAATATTGATACCCACAACGATAGTACTTTATCATAATATATTCAAAATCTTAGTTGGTTAATTTCTTTCATTTGTGCTTTCATTTTTTTTAGTTTATTTCAATTTCGACACGAATGAAAAAGGTAATAGAATCCATGAAATATTTTGCATCTTTGCAGTCTAAGTTTGTAAGTCGATAATATCTCTATAGAGTTGCTCTACGTAAAAGGATCCACTACTAATTATGTATGTATTTTTAGAAAGAAGCAAATAGATTGACTTAGTTTGTACAGTTACCAACAAAAAATAAAGGCAAAAGTACTCATTACCCCCCCTGAACTTGAAGCTTTTTATACGGTGTACACCTAAACTAAATTCCGTTTTAATTACCCCCCGAACTTTTTTATTCCTTCGTCGCGTACACCTTTTTCGTCCACCTGGCGTAGTAATTGACAACACACTCTACTAGGCGCGTGAGGAAGTGATTTTTTGCCACATCACAAAGCTACAACGGTAAAAAAACGTAAAATCTCCATTTTTCTTTAATATTTGGCATATTTTAAACGAAAAATTGGGCAAAATGTAAATGAAAATTAAAGGAAAGAAAGATTAACACTTACTTGGTAAGAATTTCAGACAAATTTGAAATTTAATCGACCAACTTCACGTCTAGAAAAACCCAAATCCAGAAGGAGTTCCGCGAAATCAGCCCTTATTCAAAAATAACTTTTAAACAATGAATTTTAAATTTAAGAAATTTAATTTTTTGCAATATTAACTTATCCAGGTGGCTATTATTTATCCAGGTGGAAATCCACATCACCACTTTTGCCAGCTGTTGCGCACGTGTAGTCACAATAGGAGCAGGTGGACGAAAAAGGTGTACGCGACGGAGGAATAAACAAGTTCAGGGGGGGTAAATAAAACGGAATTTAGTTTAGGTGTACACCTTATAAAAAGTTTCAAGTTCAGGGGGGTAATGAGTACTTTTGCCAAAAATAAAACATTCCCTTCTTTTGTGGTAACAATTCATAATCAACGCGATTTTTTTTTCCTTTTTTCATATATAATAAATAAAAGATTTGATCTTATTATTTAATTTCTCTACGTAAAATGAAATGAACAGAATAATAAAATTGATATATTTCAAAATAAAAATAATCTTAAAAATGGTGGAAAATCTACCATTTTATAAATTTCAGCTTCTAAGAAATTAAATAAATTCCCGTTAATAAAGTCGTTGGAGTACAAGATTTGGAATCAAAATATGCGAGTAATTTTTTTTAATTTTATTCTAATTGCAGGAAATTCATTTCTATTAAATATAAATAAATTTCTCTCTACAACTAACGAGTAATAACATTTTTCTTTTTATAATAAATTTTAGTATTCTCAAGTCATTAGTAGCAATAATATATTTCATTTCATCCTCCATTGAATAAAAATTAGGACTTATATCTTCTTTTACCGTGAATTTTATTTTGAATCATTGAGGTAAGGTTCTTTTCTTAAGAGTAATTTGAAGAAAAAGTAGTGGGAAAAAGAAACTACTGAAAAATGGGTTAAAGACTTAATTTCACGTAGACATGAGTTGTATTTGTATAAAAATAATCAAGAGACCATACATGATAATTTTTTGAATACTTAAAGGACTAAAACTAGCAAATGCATAGTCAAGGGACTAAAAATGATAAGTATATAATTAAGGGACCAAACTTGATAACATTTTGAATAGTTAAAGGACTAAATATGATAAATGTATAGTTATAGGACTATTTTATGCCTACTTCAATAGTTGAGGGATCATTTATGAAATTCTCTAATTATGAACAATCGTACCCAAAGAAAATTTTGTATATAGCTATGAACTTTTTTGTAGTAATTAGTTGAATTATTCAACTACAAATTCTAAGTCGTCGCTATTTCATACCTTACATATTTTGTGACAATTTTTGTTGTCACTAAATTGTAGGTTGATTAGAGACAATAAAAATGATTGTCACCAATTGTTTATATTATTAGTGACGAAAATAAATGTCACAGCTAAATCTAAAATTTTATAGCTAAAACTTAGAATATTTAACTACAAGCTCTAATTTGTCACTATTGTATCAACATATTTTTGAGACGAAATTAATTTGTGTCTAAAAATTAATTAATTTTAAGACAAAAATAATTTGTCACAAATTAAAAAAATCATTAGTGATGAAATAATGTGTCACTGGTGACTTTAAATTTGTGACTGACAATACTCAATAAATGGCGCCAATACATTTTTTGGTGGGAAACTTTAGTGGGCAAAACTTTGCTACGAACTATTATGTTTCGTCACTAAAAGTATCTTCCTTGTATATTTAAGCACGAAAAGTAATTTTTGTCACTAAAAGTGAACAATTAATGATGATTTTTATGTCGTAGCTATATATCATATTTGTTGTAGTGATTATATATATAATTTTTTAAATTATAATTTTTTATACATAAATGTATTTACTTTGTATTATTTTTAAAAATATTTCTTATACTTTTTCATAGTTTTTATCTTTTATCATATTATTTCTAGTTTTTGAGACTTGAATTTTGAATGGTCCAATAAATATTATATAGTCCATATATAATAATGTCTTTATCTTATCTTTTGTGTGTGTGCGCGTGTGCGTGTGTGTGAATTTTAGTTGAAAATTTTAAATACTTTTTGAGGGTTTCTTCTTACATGAAAAGAATATAAAATAAAATAATTATATTATACCTTCCTATAAATGTGTAGATGTATAATTTGGTTCCATAGGAAAAAAACATTTTTTTTTTACATGTAATCATCTTTTTTAGAAATGAAGGAACATTCTTGTAATTTATAACGATTTCAAAATAAATAACATAAATATACAATTTTCAAAGTAAACAAAAAGCAATAGAAGAAGAAGAAATAAATAAATATACTTTGAAGAATAGATTAGATATATAGAGTTTGTTTATTATAATTAATATACTTTTATTGTCAGTAAGTAATGGTTACAATTAAATAGCGAGTAATGTTTTAACCGTGGAAATTTCTACGTACGTATTTATCCATACAATATATATTTGACTACATATACATACATCATCTTCTTATTTTAAATTTTTGTGATAAGTCTATCACTAATTTATAATTTCCTTAGTATAAAACAAACTAATATTAGTTAATACTTTATATCATTTATTTGCGTAATTAAATTTGACTTTATTCATTTCGATCTTTTTCACCCTTCTCTAACCAAATATGAATCGTAATTATGTTTAATGAATTTAATTTTGTAGAAATATAATAACCAATTATTATGGAGTCATATGAAATTAATACAACTTGATCTTATGATGAAAAAGTAAGTTACGTCATTTCTTTATAATATCTATAACAATGATCATGTCTTAATTATTTTAAATAATATAAATATTTCTTTTTTGGGTATATAATTTTTTAAAGTTTTCACGCATGCATTTTTCTCGATAGTTTTTATAACTTACATAGCAAACACCAATAAAGAATATATTTTAATCATTAAGATTTATTTCTTTTAAGCCATAAATTTTAAATTTTAAAATTTTATTAGTAATTAGCAGATTTTTCAACATAATTAAGTTACTAATTTGAACCAAGAGAAAATAATTATAAATTTAAAATTTGATTTATACTTGAGAGCAGAATTTCAACCATAATTAAGATAAATTCGTGAGGAAGTGATATCTCTTTAGGATATACTCTAGCATTTTAAAATACTAATTTGAACTAAAAGAAATTATAAACTTACACCAATCAGAAGTTGGTATAAAAATTAAACTTAAGAGACATCATAAAGACACACAAGAAAGAAAGAAAGAAAGGAAAAAGAAAGAAATAATACAATACACATATCATTACGACTTTAATCGCTAAAAATAGAAGGAAAAACAAAATTAATACATAATTGTGTAAGATCTTGTTGATATTCATTTCACAAGACTGTCAATATTCATGAACTTTCCTCTTAAACAAAAGTAGAAAGACATCACTCTTGTTGATATCCACTTCAAGTCTATCACTATGCAAAATCTTTTTTCTTATCAAAAGTAGTTTGACTCTATGCCTTCTTCATTTTGTTATCCGTCATTTTTTTCTGTTAAAAATGTTGTGTAGCGTTAGTTGTTCACTAAAACTCTCTTCGCATCACCATTTATCTTTAGTAGTAGTACAGTACATCTTACTGGAAAAAAAAGGTGCCAAATGCTAGGTTGAAACATTAGTCTAATTGTCAAGATTTTATAAGTTATAGCTAATATTAGTTCATATCTGATTTTAATTAAAAAGTGCAACTTGGAATGGCATAGAGAGCTCTTACGTATCAAGCTGCCCAAAATTACGTACTTCTATGAAATCAAAGGTGTTTAGAACTAGAATTGGTGGGGTGAGCCAGGTCGAGGCAGTAGTGCAACACCAAGGCGACTCATGAAGGCCCCAATAGCAAGCTACCATGCTGAACCTTCCCCCTTAAAAAATAGAGTTAATATCGTGTGAGTCGATGACTCACATATCAGATATTAAACTGATAAGAACAGATACTACACTTGATCTTAGCCAAAAGGCCGAGAAAGGTATGATTTTCCATGTGTAATCGGGGCTATTTTATTGGTTACTTGGTTACATAAAATTTCTCTTTCTAGGCAGTGTGGGACTAGAAGAGCTTCTATATATTAAACTAGAAATCATCTTCTCTGGTTTTATATATTAAACTTATTCAATTCCTTTAATCGTCTATAATAAAATTGATCAAAGAGTAGTGAATGAAACAATTTACGTTTTTCCGACCCCACCCCACCCCAGGAGGATCAATATTCAATAGTAATGTCACTTACCCTCCAACATGACTCGAACCGTCAACCTATAGGTTGATAGTGAAGAAGCTCAACTACTTGAGCAAGCCTCATATATCCTGCAACAAGTTGTCAAGAAATGTAAATTACAATTTGTAGTTTACATAACATTTTCCACCATAACGTATCGATCTTGCTCCAAAAATATTAAAGGTTAATAATAATTTCACAAAAATCCTAAGTACTAATATCTTTGTCCTGGATCTCGAAGAAACTCCTTCAACAAACAATTGAAAGAAATGTTAACAACCTAGAATTGGTGGGGTGCGCTAAGCCAAGGCAGTAGTGCAACACTTAGATGACGCTTAAAGGTCGTGATAGCAAGCTACCGTGATGGACCTTCCCCTCATATTCCTCTGTTGTGAACAATATTGAAAACTAATAAGAAACACAAATTATTTTTCACGAATCTTTAAAGATTTGTCAATTCATAACACAAATTGAATCTTTTGATACTCTAGAGATTTGAGAATGACCTTTTATAATTCCCAAAAAATTGATAAGTGAGAATGTAAAGTAAGCTTTTACAACTAAATTTAGTGGGGGTGCGTCAAGTCAAGACAGTAGTGCAACGCCAGAGGACGCTTGAAGGTCCTGAATCACAATAGCAAGCAACCGTATGGACATCCCCTCAAAAATAGAGTTAGTATAATGTAATATACTAATATGAACAGATACTACACTTGATCTAACATTTGAGGTGGTACTTTGCGACTATATAGGTAAAATGGTATTTTTAAAACATCAAGCGCCAGTGGTCTAGTTGTAGAATAGTACCCTGCCACTGTACAGTCCCGGGTTCGATTCCCGGCTGGTGCATTATCTGAGTGAGAACTTTGGGTGCTCACCTTGTGTCTGTTATTAGACGACAAAATAGAGCATCTGAGCCTTTCTTTTTCCATTATTATTTTTTAATGTTGTTAGAGATTACAAGATGTGAAATCGAATTCGGTCCAATTATTATTTGTGCTGATTTATTTTTAAAGTATTTGTTAAATGAGTTATTTTTTTATATAATATTTATTAATATGAAGAAATTATTATATAGAAGGGTAAAATTGTCAAATTTAAATTAATTTGTATTTATTTTAAATAGGTTTAAAGAATGGTTACAAGAAAATGAAAATAAGGGAGGTAGACGTAATATATTAAACCACAGGGAAGGTGAGTGTTATAGAGCGAAACCTGGAGGGAGGTCTCTGAAATTATCTCTATCTATTATAAATAACCTATAATATTGTCACACCCCTTTTCGCACCGGCGGATAGGGTTTTTCCAATTTCAGTGACGGTATTGATTAAAAGATTATTTAATTTATTTTTCAGAGTCGCCACTTGGAATTGAGTTATGGTGTTCCAAGTCACCTTTTCTTTAATCCCTAATCAAATGGAAATGACTCTTTATTTTGGTCTGCCATATAGAAATTCGGGTAAGGAATTATGTTGACCGAGGGGAAGGTATTAGGCATCCCTCGAGTCCCGTGGTTCTAGTACGGTCGCTTTTATTGACTTATACTTATCTTAATTGTTTTTGGATAAATTGTGTCTAAGGACATGGTTCGCTTGTATTTTTTAGTGTTGAATTTTATTGATCTTAAACCGGATGCATAACTGCATTCTCGATCTTGACATTTAGAGACATAATTGTCTTCCCTTCTCGAGTGCATCACACCTAATAATCTCAATTTACACTTCTTGGTTTGAATTAATAACAAATTAATTATTAAAACAATTTAGTCAAGATGCGTCACCACATCCTTGAGTTTATTTTTAATTGTCTCAATAAAGATGTGCAACCGCATTCTTAATTGAAGCGAATATTTTCAATATACCTAAAAGTTCATCTAAAGTTAAAGAAAATATTTGTTCCTTATAAAAAATAATAATCAAATAACATAAAACTAATATAAACTTTTAGAGTGCATGATAAAATTTAGATCAATATTACATCTTTTTATTTTTATTTACTCTTAAAGTTAACGTCAAAATTAAGCATTACACGGGTAGCAATTTCTTACTAATCTAACAAAACAATGACGAATTACTAAAACAAATCTTTTTTTTTTGTTTGATAAAATAAAAGCAACAATAATTTTTTAGCCTAATAATCTCTATTTTTATCCTTATTGGCATCTAAGTTAAAACAAGAACACAACCACAACCCGTTCATTTTTAAGAAATAACAACTAACAAATAAAAATAAATAAATCAAGATAACCACCAATTAAAACTATCTCAATTCATTAAATAGAGATATGCTTAACACTTAACTCAATATTCAATCAAATAATGAATAAAAAAAGGAAAACTTGTTATAAAATTACATCAAATTCCATAAATAAATTAATGAGATAAGGTAAAGTTGAATACCGCAAATAAAAAAAATAAGTACCGCAAGATTTGACTGAAACTCGATTGAAACACCCACAAATCTTTTGTTGTTATGGGTGGATATATAGTGGAGTAATCTAGTATGGATTTTGTTTTTCTGGGTGTGTATGGTTTTTTCCTTTTTTCCTTCACATTTTTTTTTGTGTATGTCTTTGAAGAAAAAATATTTTGGTTGTTTGCATCTTTAGTGCGTGTATGTTGCCTTTTTTCTTTTTTTTTTTTTTTTTTTTTGGGGTTGTGTCGTGACTCGTGTGTGTATTTTTTTTTTTGGTATTGCTGATTGTAGTATGTATAGGTGAGGGTGGAGTTGGGGTAGTGGGTAGATGTGAGGGAGTGATGGTGAGGTTTCGGGGTGATGTGGGGTTGTGGGTGAGAGTAAGTGGGAGGTTAATTTTATTTATTTTTCTTTAATTAAATATATGTAAAAAAAAAAGAATAATAAGAATATTAGTCAACAAAAATTAATCTAAAATTATAATTAAAAATACAAGATTATTTATTAAACCTAATTTAAAATAAAACATATATTATTTTTTTTGTCATTTTTTATTATATTGCAAAATAAAACTTATCCTAAAATCAATTTTTTTTAAAATATTTTAAACTAAACTTAAAAAAATAAGATAAAAATTAAAATATCTAATTTAAATATAAAGAAACTTTTTTAACCAATAAAAAATGGTGTACAACTTTAAGTTCGGTCAAAAATTACGTGTCTACAAATATATAGAAAAATTATTATGATTTTTATTTGAGATAGATATTAATAACCAATAATGAAGAAAAAAAATATTGTAATTACTATTTGAGAAATGTCACTACACCAATAATAAAAAAATATGATTTAAAGCAAAAAAAAGATAAAAAATAATAATTAAAAACACTTAGGGCATACGTTTTTACGCCCAAAACTTATGGTTTTATGCTTAGTGCTTACTCCCCAAATTCTAGGACTTATCAATTTGCGCGCGAAGCGTTTCTTTTACGCCCCGCTCTGAGACTCGCTCAAAAAACGTTTTTGAAAACACTGGTTACAACTCTTTAGATAGCTGTAGAAGTTTAACTACTGATGGTAATAATATTGATATTTAGTTTCATTCCTTTTTTTCTCTACCATTCCAAATTGTGATGATATCAGTATACTTCCATTTTTCCCTTAAAAATATATTAATTATATCTTGATTGATGAAACTTATGATTAAGGGAGCAAGTATCATTTGTCTGATGGATCTCACGAAATCATGAATTGAAAAACCTACATGAGGACCCATTTGGTAGAAGGTGATGAAGAGTTGTTGGACTCAGCCTCTTCTGTTTCTCTTGTTGATGCTGGTGAAAATAATTCAACTACTAAATCGACTTTCACAAATTTCAATGAATCACCTTACTATAAGTTTAGATATATTAGAGATATAGGGTGTGTTTGGTATGAAGGAAAACATTTTTCGGAAAATGTTTTCCAATTTTCTCATGTTTGGTTGGGTTAAATGTTTTCCAAATCAACTCATTTTCCTCAAATTTAAGGAAAATGACTTCCCTTCAAAACTTAAGGAAAACATTTTCCAAACCTCTCTTCCAACTTCAAATTACAATTACTTTTTTGTTGAAAAAATCAATTTATTTTGTCCCTACCCTCAAACCACCCCCCTCCCGCAAAAAAATAATAATTTTAAAGCGTATTTTTAAATTCAATTTTTTTACCCCACCTTCACCCCTACCCCCATCCCCTCCCAAAAAAAATATTAAAAATTATTTTTAAAAGATATTTCTAATTTCAATTTTTTATATTTTTACCCCCCACCCACTACCCTCGTCCCCCCGTCCCCATCAGCCCCCTATCTGCCCCAAAACCTCCTTCAAAAAGAAAAAAATTGAGTTTTTTTT